TGTGTGTGTGTGTGTGTGTGTGGCCAGCTCAGCCCACCAGGGGGGCGGGGCTGGCTGGCTTGTGGTGCTGGGGGATTGAACCGCGGTCCCTGTGCTTTGCTAAGCTTGTTCTAAGTAGGTGCTTTAGACCACTGAGCCATCTCACCAGCCCCAACTTAGGAAATTTCTAATAGACATTTCCCTGAAATTGAAAAACCCCACTAAGTCTTCATCATTTGTAAAGCCAGGCACGGTGGCTGACACCTTCAGTCCTGGGGGTGGGGGAGCTAAGGCAGGAGAATCTCAAGTTCGAGCCTACTGAGACCCTGTCTCCTACAAAAAATAAAAGGTCTAGGAAGGTAGCAGGACTCCACACTGGGCCTGAGCTCAATCCCCAGACGCACACACACACACACACCACGCACAGGCTTGGGCTGGACCTGGCCTAGGCTAACAAACCACCACTTATAAAATACTTCCCTGCGGCAGGCACAGGGTGGCATACACGTGTGATCCCAGCGCTTGTGAGGCTGAGGCAGGAGGCTCTGGGGAGCTCCAGGCAGCCGGCCCGACCCCGCGCACTTCCCCAGGCGCTGCACCCTCTCTGACCCCACTAGTTTCGTTTCCTGGTGAGACACACAGTGACAGGCAATCATGAATTCCCTCTGGCAAGGTGCTCCCGGCCTGGCCACTGCAGAGCCCAAGCTTTCAGCCCCTTCCAGCAGCCACGGTGCCCCTCAGGAGGGGACCCGGGCTCAGGGTGTCCCGGCTGCAGCCCTAAGAGCACTATCAATATTTGGCGTCTTTGGTCAAGCACCGCGCAGAAAAATAAATATTGCCACAGCCCAGGAGCAGCGCGGGGGAGGTCAACAGCACTCGAAGGGGCTCCACAGCCCCGAGCCGCCTCCGTCTCCCTGACCTGCGACCTGGCCCCGTGCTGTCCCTGCTGGGAAACCGACGGCTAGCCACCCAGCACGGTAGTGCACACCTGGCACCCCAGCTGCTCGAGAGGCTGAGGCAGGAGGGTCAGAGGTTTAAAGTAGGCTCAGTCTCAAAGCTGAAAAGTGCGTGGCAGTGTAGCTCAGTGGTATCGACAAAGCTCCTGTGTTCGATCCCCAGCGCCAGGACATAAGAAAAGGAGGGAAGACAAAGGAGAAAAAAGCAGCTGTGTGTGGAGGCTGAGGCAGGAGCATCACCTGAGTTCCGAGACTGCTCTTCCTGCTTTCTAAACCTGACCAGCGCTTCCTCACTGTGTCCCCGTGAGTCCGGCGTGACCAGCGCTTCCTCACTGTGTCCCCGCGAGTCCGGTGTGGTCCAGCCCGCCCCGCCCCCCTGGCCTTGCAGGATGTTCACTGTCCCGTCCCTGCCCGTGCAGGCCTCTCTCCCCTGTGGCAGCAATCCCGTCCCTGACCAAGCCTCCCTTCCTCTGCACCTCAAACACGGGGCCCAACCACAAAGGATACTGGGGACCACAGCTGCACAGGACACGGCGGAGATGGCCATGCGTGCGTGGCACGTGGACGGGCTGTTCCACTGCGGACAGGCCTTGTAGGAGATGACCGACTGCAGGAGCGTGTACACCACGCCGCACACGAAGGCCAGCAGGGCACCCGCATCATGGACCATGGGCACGGCCAGCTCCTGGGGACAGAAGCACAGACGTGTCACCACCCTGCACGACATGCCCTCCACGGGCCCTGTCCACCACTGCAGCCCATTCTATAAAACTCAGGAGGAGGCTGAGGCAGGAGGATCATATGGGTTCGAGGCCTGCCTGGGATACTTAGTAAGACCCTGTTCTCAAAACATTTAAAAGGAAATGAAAATAAACCTTTCTCACTAACTCACTTCCGTTTGTTTTTGAGGCAGGGTGTTACTACACCGATCAGGCTGGCCTTCAACTCACTTTGAAGCCCAGGCCAGCCTTAAGCTCGTAGTGATCCTCCTGCCTCAGCCTCCACGGTGCTGGGATTACAGGTGTGTGCCACCATATCCAGCTTTCTTGCTAATTCAAAAGACAGAAAAACACAAAGGACACTAGACCACTGTGAGTTTAAACCTAGAAAATCTTTTTCAGAAAGGATGTGTTTTTTAAAGATTTATTTATTTGGCACAGGATCTTACTGCGTGGCTATGACTCATAGTGATCCTCCTGTCTCAGCCTCCCCAGCACTGGGATTACAGGTGTGTGCTACCAGGCCTGGTTTTGGTGGCCAGCACAGTGCACGGCATACAGTACCAGGGATCGGACCTGGGTCCGAGCTTGCCAGGCATGGACCTCAAACACGGGGTCCATGAGCTACCTCACCGGCCAAATATGTGGTTTTTAAATTTTATTTTTCATTAGCAAATATATTTGGATGGGAATTTGTGTATACTTCGATATACACTTCCATGCTGAGAGGAATGGCTAAAGCTGATTGAACCCAGAACCTCAGCTGCTTACCATTTTGGGGGGTCAGAACATCTACAATCTGTCTAGGAACTGTTCTCTTTTGAGACATCTTACCTCATAGCTCAGGCTGGCTTCAAAGTCATGGAAATCCCCCTGCCTCAGCCTCCTCCCCGCACCGTTTCAGCCCTTCTGATGCCTGCAGTCTGTGCCGGTAGCCAGTGTCCAGAGCCCACCTGCCCGCCCTCCCTACCTGGCGCCCAGCCTCGGCACCCGCCTGGCTGCTTCTGCCCACTTCTCAGGCCTCCTGTGCATGGGGTCTGGTGCTCTCTGTCTCCCTGCTCTGCTTTACTTTGTTGAACTATAATGTCCTTTCTTGTCAAGTGACAGAATTTTCTAAAAGGATAATTTTGGGCCAGGGGTATACCTGCCTGGCAAGTTCAAGGTCCTGAGTTTGATTCCCAGTACCAAAAAACCCCCAAGATTTTATTTCTACAGTGAGTGGCATGCATTTGCTCTACTTATATTACCTTTCTTACAACTAATACATTTAAGAGCTTATTTTCAATTAACTTGAGAATATTTATATTTCAAACATAAATTCAAGTGTTAAAGTTGTATAATAAAGGGGCCAGGGAGGTGGCTCAGTGGAATAAGCGCTTCCCTGGCAAGCGCAAGGGCCTGAATTCAATCCCCGGTTTTGCAAAAAAAAAAAAAAAAAAAAAAGTTATATAATGAAGAGCATACTTTTAATGATAAAAGTCTTATTGGGCTGGGGATGTAGCCCAGCAGCTTATGCGCCTGCCTGGCACAAGGTCCTGAGCTCAATCCCAGGTACCAAAAAAAAAAAGTGCTATCAAAAACTATAGTTTACTCTGCCGGGCATGGTGGCACACATCTATAATGCCAGCACTCTGGAGGCTGAGGCAGGAGCACTGCTCTGAGTTCAAGGCCAGCCTGGGCTACAAGGTGAACTGCATAGTTGAGACCCTGTCTTGAAAGAAAGGAAAAGAAAAGTAGTTCACCAGAGAGGCACACAGGCCTGTAACCCCCGCGCTCAGGAGACCCAAGAAGGAGGATCTGGGAGTGAGTCCAGTCTGGGCTACAAAGAGAGCTCAAGGCCAGTCTGAACTGCATGGGGAAACACTGTCTCAAAAAGATAAGAGGGGGCCGGGGAGATGGCTCAGTGGACTAAGCGCTTCCCTGGCAAGTGCAAGGGCCTGAGTTCAATCCCCGGTTCCGCCAAAAAAATAAAAAAATAAAAAAAAAATAAAAAATAAAAAAAAGATAAGAGAGGGCTGGGGAGATGGCTCAGTGGACTAAGCGCTTCCCTGGCAAGCACAAGGGCCCGAGTTCAATCCCCGGTTCCGCCGAAAGGGGGGGGGGAGCAAAAGGACTAAATGTTGCGGAAAGCCAGGATGTGGCAGTGCACGTGTCCTCTGAGGCAGCAGGATCACCATGAGTTCAAGGCCAGCACTGAATTCAAAAATAGTGAATTCAAGGCCAACCTGGGCTGCACAGCAAGACCCCATCTCAAAAAGACAAAGGAAAAACTGTGAAAGCAAAATGTGTGGGGAGGCACCACACCACACGCAGGAAAGGAAAAGGGTTCCCGGGGCGCAGGGTCCTTCTGCAGCCCACCCCATCCCACCGGCTCAGCCCAGCCACACCCACCTGGAAGTTGGCCACGATGCCCATCCCGACACAGCCGGCCAGGCCGAGCCCCAGGGACACGGCGTTGAGCAGCGGCGTCCCGCGCAGGCCCTGACTCTGCTTCTGCACGATCTTGTAGCGCATGTACATGGTGGCGGCGCCTGTGGGGAGGGCGAGGGACAGCACTGGACGGGTGGCTCTGCCCAGCACTGCCAGACAGAAGGGAAAGGGTGGCCAGGCAGGGGGCACAAGCCTGTCATCCTAGCACTCGGGAAGCTGAGGCGCCGGTGTTGAGCCCAGCCTGGCTCAAAATAAAAAATACAAAAGGCTTCTAGCTCAGGGCAGAAGCCCTGGGTTGAAACTCTAGTGTGGGCTAAAACATTTAAACTGGGTGTAGTGGCACACACCTGTAATCTCAGTGCTGGGGAGGCGGAGGAAGGAGGGTCATCATGAGTTCAAGGGCAGCCTGGGTTATTTATTAGACCTTGTCTCAAAAAACACAAGCCATTTAAAATCCTCTTGAAAAAAAAGTTCAGGGTCGCAAGCCCTCGTAGCAGCGTCCTCTCTTCTGAGTGCCGCACTGCACTCTTCAAGTGTGTCCTCCATCTCCAGGTCTAATAAGCCTTCTCATGCTTTTAAAAAATAAATAAAACCCCCCACGCCAGGCCCAGGGTCAGGCGGCAGATGTGGGGGCTGAGACGGGCCCCTCGAGGCAGCCACGAACAAGGCCGGACATCCGCATGCTTTAGCTTGCCAAGGCTGGCAAATTTCTAGTTGCAAAAGGTGTACAGAAACAAAACAGGGCTGGGGAGCGACCTCGGGGGTCTAAGCGCCTGCCGGGCAAACGCAAGGACCTGACCTGAGTTTGATCCCCAGTACCGCATGCAGTCGCAGAATACCAGGTGCACCGTGCCAGCCACTGAAACCGGGTGTGGTGGCGCACACCTGTAATCCCACCGCTGGGGAGGCTGGGGCAGGAAGATCACTACAGACTTTTTGGGTTTTTTTGGTGGAACCAGGGATTGAACTCAGGCCCTTGCGCTTGCCAGGGAAGCGCTTATTCCACTGAGCCATCTCCCGGGCCCAGGAAGATCACTACAAATGTGAGCTGCACAGTGAGACCCTGCACCAAATAAATAAATTCGAAAGAAAAATCATCCAGGCACAGTGGCCCTCACCTGTAATCTCAGCCCTACAGGAGGCTGAGGCAGGTGGATTGCAAGCTCAAGGTCAGCCTGAGCAACTGAAGGGAATCCTGTCTCAAATTTTTTTTTAAATTTTTATTTATTTATTTGTGGGGGGGGGACAGCTCAGCCCACCTGGGGGCGGGGCTGGCTGGCATGTGGTGCTGGGGGATTGAACCGCAGTCCCTGTGCTTTGCTAAACTTGTTCTAAGTAGGTGCTTTAGACCACTGAGCCATCTCACCAGCCCCTCTGTCTCAAAATTTAAAAAATAGAAACAAAAAGGGCCGGCCGAGCTCTGAGGTCTGGCCTTTGCCCCAAGCTCCACCCCAGGACTTCAAAGAGAGACGCATTAATGGCAAATGACCCCCATCACTTCACTTGAGGGATGCGATTCTATTCACAGCAATAATGTTCTCACCAAGAAACGCAGAGAAGTTTATCATGAGCCCAAAAATACCGCTCTCTGGAGGGGTTGTTCCTGTGTCACTGGGAGAGAGAAGAAAAATCAGAATTACTAGAGAAGAACTGAGGCCGAGCGTGGGGGAGCGAACGCCCGTCATCCCAGCACTTAGGAGGCTGAGGCAGGAGGATCCAGAAGCCCAGCCCAGCTGGGGGAGTTAGCAAGACCCTGTCTCAGAAATGTGACAAATAATGAAAGGATTCTTGGGACTGCCAAAAAGAAAAGTGAGGGGACATTGCTCAATGCACTGGGCCAGTTTGGGAAGGAGCAGTCTTCCTCCCTAACTGCTCAGCTTGCAATAATAACGTTCACTCACTGGCAAAGAGAACTGCGCACCACAAGCCTCACTGGCAAAATACATGGGAGACACCTCTGAGACACAACCCCCCAGGTCTACTGGACCCCAGGGGGGCGATAGGTCAGGGCACCAGCGGCACCCAAGCAGGAAGGTGATTGCAGACCCTGAGGAGGCCTGGCACTCAGTAGAGCTGCGACAACTCGTTTTCCAGCACACAGCTGAATGGTCACCTCCTGTCTTCCAGGCCATTCTGTGGGCACAGTGAAAACAACCACAAGGAAACGGAGGAGGTCCCAGTGCTCGGGAGGCTGAGGCAGGAGGATCTCAAGCTCAAGTCCAGCCTGAGCAACTCAGCGAGACGCTGCCTCAAAAGAAACCCTGGGTTCCGTCTCTCGTTCTACAAAAAAGAGAGAGTGGACAAGCACAACTCTTCAGCCCCCGGTCTCTGCTAGGCCACGTGGCAGGCCTCAGCGGGTCCTAGGTACCGAGCATGCTTCTAGAGAGAGGGCACGGTGACAGAAGCAACTCGCCTGGACCCAGAGACAGTGAGGGCCACGCAGCCGGGACACCCAAAATCCACTACGCAGCCCAGAACGGCCTCAGATTCACAGCGATCCTCCTGCCTCAGCCTCCCGAGGCCCAGGACAGACGCGTCCAGCCAAAAGTTTGAAAATGACTCCTGCAGCATTCTTTTCCTGCGACACCATTGTTTAGAAACCTCCAGCAGCTCGCAGCTCCCAGCACCTCCGGAGTGACCAAAGTGTCACGGGTATCTGAGCTGCGATCTCCACTGAGGCCCGGCAAGGCGCTTCCCAGCCAACTCCCTGGGGCACGCACGAGGCACCGCCCACAAACCCCAACCGGACCTCCCGACCTCAGTGCTCTCCGGAGTCCCAGAGCCGGCAGAGCCCGCCCACGGCTTCCAGAATGAGCCTAACTGTGCTTCCTGCTGGGAAGCCGCTCCCTTTCAGTTTGCGTCCTTTGAAGAGGAAGGAAATTTTAAAGCGAGTTAGGGTAGAATCTTTTTTTAAATGTGTTTAGTACAAGGTCTACAGGGTCTCACTACCCAGCTCAGACTACTCATCCTGTTTTCATCCTCCCAAGCGCTGGGATTACAGGTATGTGTGCCACCACGCCCAGTCTCAGTGGCCATCTCAGCGCGCCCCAGGGGCAGGGCCCACGCCTATGCCAGGGATCAACGCTGGCAGCTGCGCTCTGCCTAAGCAGGCGCTAAATCTATTTTTAAAACCAGCTTTCTTACATTTTTTTGTTCCTGATTTTGTTGTTTTGTTCTGGGAGACAGGGTTTCACTCTGCAGCCCAGGCTGGTCTTCAACCCTTAGGTGACCCCCCTGCCTCAGCCTCCTGAGTGCTGTGACTACAGGAGTGCTCCGCCATGCCTGGCAGTGCCCTTAAATCTTTACAATTGTCAGATCCGCTGGTAACTTCAACCAGTCTCCTTTGACTCTTTCCCAAAGGCTGGGGGGATGGCTCAGTAGAATAAGAGCTTGCCTGGCAAGCACAAGGGCCTGAGTTCAATCCCTGGTTCAAAAAAAGTCAAAGAGCCAGCTGAACTATATTAATTGGTCATCAGTCAATTAAACCACACAATCAGGGGCTCAGGGAGATGGCTCAGTAGAATAAGCGCTTCCCTGGCAAGTGCAAGGGCCTGAGTTCAATCCTTGGTTGGGGGGGGGGGAATAAGAAGAAAAAAATAGACCGCACAATAGCAATAAAAACAGCAATACTCATAATAGGCCACGTGGTGGCGCAGCCCTGTCACCCCAGCACTAGGGAGGCTGAGGCAGGAGGATCACCTCGCCTTCAGGGCCAGTCTGAGACCCTGTCTCAGAAAAACCAGAGAGAAAAAATTAACAAGTGGCCGAAAGTGGGGCGGGGCACACCTATAATCCCAGCCCTCCAGGCGGCAGCACAGGGGGAGTGACCAGTCCAGCAAGGGGAATTTGGCAATTTAGCAACACACTGTCTGGACACTGAGAAACATTTTATGTTCATCTATTAGCACACACTTGTGAGCATAAATTAAATTTTGTGATCAAGTAAATGGAAATTAAAGTATTAATTTTTCTGATTTTCCATTTTCTTTTTGAAATTGAAGACCTGGTCAAAGCTGACCTGCCTCAGCCACCAAGCAGCAAAAAGTCGCAGAGCAGACATAACCGATGCGGGCAGGAGAGGCCTCGGCCACTAAAGCTAGGAATCCCACTGCCCGGCTCTGCCCCTCCTAGGGGTCTTCCTGCAGGGGCTCAGATGTCACAAGACGGGGCTCGCCCACTGGGGTTCCCGGCGGCACCGCCCACAGCAGCCAAACCTTGAGAGTGGCCTGGGCGTCCTCAGCGGACAAGTAAGTAAAGGACACATGGTGCTGACGCAGCAGAGCGCTACTGTGCCCTCGGGCAGGATAAGCTGGATGCGTCAGTGGGGACACGGAGCCCCTTGAGACTGTGATGGCGAGTGCCTTCTCTTCCGAGAAACCCAAGTGGTAAACAAACAGCAAACGTGGTGCCTCACACCCGTGATCCCAGCACTCAGGAGGCTGAGGCAGGAGGATCCTTGCGAGTTTGAGACCAGCCTGGGGTATAAAGGGAGCTCCAGGCCTGCCTGAGCTGCACAGTGGGACCCTGACTCAAAAAGACCAGAAAATTAAAAATAAACAGCGAAGGAAAAGACAGATCACAGGGCGCAGGGAGACAGACAGATCACAGGGCGCAGGGAGACGGATCTTCTACAAATGGAGACGGGTATAGACGGAGGCACAGCGGCAGGGCAGGGGGGAGAGGAGCAGGCCGAAGCTGCAGGCGCGGGCTCTGGGCGCTGCCAACCCCGCTGCCAAGGGGCAGGGGAAGGGGCTGCTCCCGCGGGCCGGCGGGGCGTGGGCACGGCCTGGGGCGGACCCTCCTCCGCCCGGTTCCGGCGCCACCTGCCCGCGCCCCCAACACAGCTGCGTCCCTCGGCCGCTCCTCCGCTTGCCGAGCGAGACGGAGGCTGACCTCCCGGTTTATGCTTCTTGATGGGAAATTCACACATCTGGCTAAGAAGTGAATACAGACAAAGCCGGGGTGGGAACCCCAGCCTGGAATCCCAGCCCTCGGGGGACTGGGGCAGGAGGGTCACTGCACGTTCAAGACCAGTGTGGGCCACAAACTGAGCTCAAGGCCAGCCTGAGCTGCATAGCAAGACCCCACAGCGACGCCCTGCCTCAAAAAGACCAGAAAAAAAGCAGCGCCAAAGCCACCGCATATGGGACTTGCAGACTTCTGTCCAATTCCCAGTGCAGAGATGAAAGCCAATTTACAGGGTTGGGGAGGTGGGCTGGCGATCTAAGCGTCTCCCTGGCAAGCTCAAGGACCCAGGTTCGATCCCCAGGACTGCATGCCGTGCCAGCCCCACACCGTGCGGGCCACAGAAACCAGCATGGTGACACACGCCTGTAATCCCAGCACCAGGGAGGCTGGGACAGGAGGATCACTACAAGTGCAAGCTGCACCAAGTAAATAAACAAATAAAAAAATTAAAAGAAAAAAAACCAGGTGCGTCAGCAAGCTTCTGTCTTCCCAGCTACTCAGAAGGCTGAGGCAGGAGGCCCGCAAATTTCAAAGCCAGTCTGGGCAACTCAGCAAGACCCCTGCCCAAAGCGGGGAGCTAAAGGGCACAGTTGAGGGATGGAGCTCTTGCTTGGGTTCTCCCAGCAATATGAAAAGTTAAATTAAAAAAAACAAATGAAAAAGAAAAATGTGGGGCTGCGGATATGTCTCAGTAGAATAAGTGCTTCCCTGGCAAGCACAAGGGCCTGAGTTCAATCCCCGGTTCCACTAAAAAAAAAAAAAAAAAAAAGAAAGAAAAACGAAAAGCAAATTTCTACCCCCACACCTGTGCGCAAGAGTAAGAGGCCTGTCCCTTCGGCCTCTACACCAGCCTGATAAGACCTCTAGGTTTCTGCCAACCCCCTAAATACCAGCCCCAAAGATCTTCCGTCTGCTTTGTTTCTTGAGACCAGATCTCTGGAGCCCAGGCTGGCCTGCCATTCCCAGCGACCCTCCCGCCTCAGCCTCCTGAGTGTGCCTTCGGAGCCTGCTCCTGCTGTCCCTCCTGCTCCTGCCCCTCGAGGTCCATGTGACTACAGGTGAAGGAGCAGGGTTCACCCAGCCATCGCTGCCAAGGGCCACTCAACACTGCCCAGGTCCCGAGTCTGCTTGAGGCCCTGGGTGAGCCACGGCTCCAGGTGTCACTTTTCCTACACACTGTCCTCCTGTGTCCCCACTTGCGCACTGAGCCAGAGCAGCAGCCACCCTGACGCTCAGGGGGCAATCGGTCCTCAACTGAGCGCTCTGACCCTGGCACAGTACCAGGGTCTGGGGTACAGCGAGGCTGGAAGCAGGGCATCGCCATGTAGGGGTGGGGCCAGTGGACCCTTCGCTGTGCCTCTTCTCTGTGCTTTGGGGGAGGAGGGGATGAAGGTCTACAGAGGCGAGCCAGAGTGCACCCCTGTGAGCCCAGCACCTGAGAGGCTGAGGCAGGAGGATCTCAAGTTTGAGGCCAGTAAGGGCAACTTTGCAACCCTGTGAATTGCTGACTCAAAGTAAAAAATGAATAAAGGGCTGGAGGCAGGGCTCAGTGAAGGCCCTGGGCTCCATCCCCTGCCACAGGGTGGGGGTCACTAGGCCTAACAGTGCCCACAGCCCTTCCACTGGCTTGGGGGTTCTGGCACTATAGTCCGGGTGGGACTGGTGGCCCCAGGACAGCACAGTCTGCAGGCACACACAGCGCAGCGACAGGAAGGATGTTCCCTCACGTCCCATACTGAGACAGAAGAGCCTTGTGTGGTGGCGACACCTGCAATCTCAGCACTGACAGGCTGAGGCAGGAGGACTGCCAGCCAGGCTTGGCTGCACAGTGAGTTCAAGACCAGGCTGAACTAGTGAGGCCCTGTCTCAAACCAAAACACAACAAACCCCGCAGAACACCACCTCCTCCTGGGCCAGAGGTCAGGGGCCAAGGCAATGGCAGGCTCAGGCCTGGCTGCTGGAGGCCGGAGAGCGCGAAGTCGTGGTGAGCCTGGGCACCAAGGACCCGGCTGGTGAGCGGCCTGCGAGACGGGCTAGAGGCTGAGGCAGGAGGGTCTGCGGTTAGAGCCAAAACTGGTGCTCGCTTCGGCGAAAACTGGAACGATACAGCGAACATTAGCACGGCCCTGCGCAAGGATGACACGCAGATTCGCGGAGCGTTCCACATTAAAAAAAAAAAAAAGTAAAACTGAAAAAGGGCTGGGCGTGTGGCACAGGTCCAAGACCTGGATTCCATCTCAGCGTCAGAAAGGGAAAAAGGTGGGGTGCACAGGAGTGGGGCGCAGGCTGAGGGCACACCCCGCAGCTCTCCCGCCCCCCCACGCCCCGGGCGGGGCTCGAGCCCGCGACCCCGGCGCTCGGCGCCCCCGCAGGCCGCCGCCGGCTCACCTGATGTAGGGCAGGAAGGGGTCCACGTGCCCCGCCAGCACGGCCACCACGTAGGAGATGAGGAAGGCGGCGGCCGACCAGGTGACCAGCAGGAAGGGCACGAAGCCCAAGCCCCGCAGCAGGCAGCACATGGCGCGGGCGGCGGGCGGCGTGAGGTCACAAAGCGGGCGGGGCGGGGGCGAGCCCCGCGTCCCCCCAGTCCCGAGGCCGAACCCCGAGTTCCCGCGCCCCGAGGCCGAGCCCCGCCGCGCCGGCTCTTGCGCAACCCGGCGCCGCCCCGCCCCTGCGCGCTCTCGGGACCAGGCCGACCGGCGTCCCCGCGGCTTTCCCGGCCGCTTATTCGTTACCGAGGCCCACACTCTCCTCACTCACTAGGTCGCCAGGCTGCGCTGGAACTCGCCACCCTCCCGCCTCAGCCTCCCTGGGCGCGGGCATCCCCGCGCGGCCACCCAGCCCGGCCCCGCCCCTGCTCCCTGCGGGGCGGGGCGCCGTGTGCCCCGAGGCCGGAGAGGAGGGGCGCGGGCTGGAGCTCGGAGGCGCTGGGGGTGGGGGTGGGGGCCTCTGCCCGCGGCTGCTTCCAGGCCCTTTAACAACTTTTCTTTTTTGAGCTGGGTGTGGTTGTCACACCTGTCATCCCGGCCTTGGCTTGGGAGGCTGAGGCAGGAAGATCTCTGTGACTTCAGGCCCAGCCTGAACTGCATAGGGAGACCATGACTCAAAAACAGCAACAGTAGAGAGAGGGAGGGGGAGGAGGAGAGAGAAGGAAGGTTGGGGGGAAGGGTGTAGGAGGAGAAGGTCGGCTAAATTGCCCAGGCTGGACTAGGATTTGAAATCTTCCTGCCTCTACCTCTGCCTCTGCCTCCCAGAGTGCTGAGATTGTGGGCCTGCACCACCATACACAGAGTTTAGGACTCCTCCGAGCTCAGCGGCTGCCCTTCAATCCAGGGCCCTGTAATGGGTCAACTCACATTTTAGATTATAAATGTAAATCTTGTGTTTACTGTTGTGTAAAAATGTATACTCACCACTGTTCTAAGTTGTTTAGTAGCTAGTGGCTGTTTCTTGCTGTTTGCTAAGATAAAATTCCTGTAACCCTCACCAATTCCTGTAAACAAAGTTAGCTTACAGGGGCCAGGGAGAATAGAATAGTGCTCAGTAGAATAAGTGCTTCCCTGGCAAGCTCAGGGGCCTGAGTTCAATCCCCGGTTGCGCAAAAAAAGAAAAAAAAAGTTAACTTACAGAGATGACTTCAAAAGGAAATTAAGTGGGCTTTAATTTCTTGTAAACACTGGCTGTGCAAGGCTGCCTGCAGGTACTCAGGTGCAAGATAACCAAAAACTAAAAGCAAGCCCCAGGAAACGTAGTTTGAGTAGTGGTCACAATGACCCTGAAAGCGTTATTGTGTGTCAGACAATGAAGAATGCGGTTCCAGGTTTTAAGCCCCCCTGCTTCCTGGGCTGCCACCTTCTGGCCCTTTCCTGCGTGGGGGCCAGGAGGCGAGCTCAGTAATAGACGGCTCTCCAAATTCCAGTCCGGCTGATGTGGTTCCTATTCTGAGTGACCCATAACCGGCACTCAGCTGCAGGAACATTTCTAGGCTGCCAAGATTAAATAGCAATGTCCCAGGCCAGGCACGGTGGCACACATCTGTGCTCCCAGCACGGGGAAGCCGAGGCAGGAGGATCACAAAGCCATGGGCAACTTACTAAGGCAATTTAATAAGGATGACAATGAAAATATCTTTTAAAAGGCTGAGGATGTGGCTGAGCACTTCCTGACCTGTGTCCATGTCGTGTTGTCATCGTGTCGTGTCCCGCCCTCCACCCCCACCCCTGGTGCTGACAACAAAGTACTTTCCAACAGGAGGCAGGTACAGGGACCCTTGGGCTCCGGAGCACCTCAAACTGACACTCAGGGCGGCTGGGATAGACACGCACTCTTCCTCCTCTGGAGGGTGTGCGGCACCCTGGCCAGCGTGCACCCTGGGAGGCTGAGGCAGGAGGATCAGGGGATGCAGCCCAGCTGAGGCTCCTTGGCAAGGCCCTGGGTGAGACAGGGCGAAGCCCCTGGTGCCATCACAGCACAGGCGACCGCTCGCTCAGGGGACCTGCAGGGGCCTGACTGCCAGGAGGGGCAGCAGCAGCAGCGGCAGTGGCAGCGGCAGACCAGGGTGCGGCCCCTGCAGGCCTGGGCAGCCCGGTCTACCCAAGACCTGGAGCTAGCACCATCTGGCCCCGTCCGCCATGACAGGAAGCGTTGCTGTGCATACAGGATTAGGAAACGCCTGGCCGGCCTGCTGAGGCTGAGACCCAGAGGAAGCCCACAAGGCTCAGCTTTTCTGGCCTAAGGCTTGCTTGTGTTATGTCCTTCACTCCCCAAACCTGGCTTTGGTTGCTTTTCTTTTCATTTTTGGTTTCTTGAGATAGGGTCCCACTGTGCAGCCCACCCTGGCCTTAGGCTTCTGGAGACCCTCCCGCCTCAGCCTCCCCAGTGGTAGGACGGCAGGCAGACCTGGTCTCTTAGCCTCTCCTGGAGGTCCACAGCAAAGCGCTCCAGCTTCTCAGAGCCCTAGGGAGCCTTGGAGATCTGAGTCCCCAGGCAGAGCCCCAGGCCCTTGGGTGCTGAGGGCAAACAGGCTGCTGACACGCTGCCCTTCTAGAATGTTTCTGCTAGATGTGTTGAGGGTGGCAGAGATGAGGAAGAAACAAACAGTGCTTTTGAGAAATGTGGGAATTTCCACTGTGGCTCACGTGGGAGCACTTCCTGTAAGTCTTCAGTGAGGTCAGGTTTCCCCTGGCTTCCCTCTGTGGCCATTTCTCAATGAGCTCTAATTTGGGAACTCGGGTCACCAGCTTTCCCAGCGGGGCTGGCCTCGAATGCTCATTATTTTATTATGTTCCATTTATTTATTCATTCATGTATGCTTTGCAGTCCTGGGGGTGGAACCAGGGCCTTCACCCTGAGCTACATCCCCAGCCCTTGTTAGGTTTTGTTTTGAGACAGGGCCTCGGTAAGTCAGGAAGGGACCCAGCTCAACCTCCACCCTGCCATCTTCCTGCCTCAGGCTCCCGGTGCTGGTGTTGCCAGGCCTGGCCAGGTTTCACTGAGGGCGGTAGCCCACACCTGTACCCCGGCACTTGGGAGGCCGAGACAGGAGGGTCTCTGTAACTCAAGGCCAGCCTGGGCTACCCAGTAAGGCCCTGTCTCAAATAACCAAACCAAGAACTAGGGGCTGGAGAGATATAGCTCAGTGACAGTAAGCACCTGCCTGGCAAATGCAAGGTCCGTGAGTTTGATCCTGGTACCAAAACCTACCAAAAGGGCCGGGGAGATGGCTCAGGAGAATAAGGGCTTGCCTGGCAAGCGCAAGGGCCTGAGTTCAATCCCCGGTCCCACCAAAAAAAAAAAAAAAAAAAAAAACTACCAAAAACCCCACTTCTGCATGATTCCCTTCGAGTGGTGTTCCGGAGAAGACGCAGCCAAATGGCCCTTCCCGAAGGCTGTGGGTGACAGGTGGAGGCCTTGGTCTCACAGGCGCAAGGGAACTTCTTGGAGCAATGAAATAATCTTTGATCTTGGACCCCTACAGGGTATTTTTGTTAAAACTCACTGCATTTTAAAAGGATGGAAGCCGGGTGTGGTGAGGCCCGCCTGTAATCCCAGCACTCGGGAGGCTGAGGCAGGAGGATGCTTGCAACTTTGAGACCAGCCTGGGCCTCGAAGTGAGCTCAAAGCCAGCCTGAACTGCATAATGAGGACCCCCCAAAAGAGGATAGATTTATTATTATTTTATGTTTAGGACAGCATCTACAGGGTGTTCAGGGTCTCACTAAGTAGATTGGACCCCCCAAGCACTGAAATTCCAGGCGTGGGCCACCACACCCAGGCTCAATCACTGTCTCAATGTGCCCCAGAGGCGGGGCCGGCACGGCACACCAGGGATCAAACCCAGCTTCGCGCTCTGCCTAAGCAGGGGCTTTAGTCCACGGAGCTATCTGGCTGGCCCAAGGACAGATATTTTATTTTTAAGGACAGATTTTATTGTACACAAATTTTACCTAAATAAGCCTGATTTTAAAAAGAAAACGACAGACGACGGGATAAAGCAAGTGTGGTACTTACACACAGTGGAGTGCTGCTCTGTCATAAAGAAGGATAAACTTGAGCCATCTGTACAACGTGGACGCAGTTGAAGACCGTGATGCCAGGTGAAAATCAGACACGAGTTTAAAGCCCTCCTAGGAGAAACCCCAAAGCTTCGTTTTGTTCTTTGCCTTTTCGAGACTGTGTTTCACTATGTAGTTCAGGCTAGACTTTAACTCACTACGTAGCCCAGGCTGGCCTCACATTCACAGAGATCCTCCTGCCTCAGCCTCTCAAGTGTGGAGTGACCACAGGTGTGGCCGTCACGCCCAACTTTTTTCAGACAGGAGCTTGCTGTGTAGTCCAGGCTGACCTCAAACTCATGACAACCTTCCTGCCGCAGCCTTCCGAGCGCGGGCTGACAGGCCAATGGCTCAGGCCCGGCTCACTGTTGTCTAGCTCCCTGGCTAGCACCCTTTCTGTGTCACCAACCCTGTCGGATGCTGCAATGTGTGGTCATTTGTCACTTCTCGTCACATTCTGTATCCTCAGGTGAAGCATGCTCTCCTGGCCTGTGCAGATTCCCGGTCCTCCAGCCTAGCACGCTTCTTGCTTCATACTAGGCACTCAATGACTATTTTTTAAGAAATTAATTGAATAAATGAATGAATAAAAAACCCTTTTTTTTTTTTTACCCCCAAGAGATGTATAAAACTTTAAAAAAGAATGTTGTGGTGAATACAAGAAATTTGATGTGCTTCTATTTTTTTTTTTTTTTTTTTTCGGAACTGGGGATTGAACTCAGGCCCTTGCACTTGCCAGGGGAGCGCTTATTCCACTGAGCCATCTCCCCGGCGCCTGTGCTTCTGTTCTATTGGAGCAGTGTGGATTGACATGTTGTGTTTTGGAGGGCAGCTAGCAAATGCCCAAATTAAGATGCGTACCAGGCACGCACACCTGCAGCCCCAGCTACTAGGGAGGCTGAGGCAAGAAGATCCCAAGTTTGAAGCCATCCTGGCAAGTCGGGGATGTCAGGACCTGGCCAAACTCCCAATCCTAGAGACAGGGTATGGACAAGGGTTAAATAAAGACAATGCAGGGCTGGGGAGACAGCTTAGCAGTCTAAACGCCTGCCTGGCAAGTGCAAGGCCCCGAGTTCAATCTGATGCCACACAGCATGCCAGCGCAGGGCCCCAACCTCCAGTGCCAAGCCGGCCACTGAAACCAGGTGTAGGGGTGTATGCCTGGAATGCCAGTGCTGGGGTGGTTGAGACAGGAGGATCACTACGAGTCCCGGCTGCACAGTGAGACC